CCCCAAAACCCCAAAACCCCAAAACCCCAAAACCCCGTGAAATGAATTTTATCGAAAAATAAGCAAATTAAAAATGATAAATAGAATAACTTTTTCCATGATTATACATAAAATATAATTAATCTAATTATCATTGATTCATTGGTATAATAGGCAAGTTTTTATCTTATATTTCTCACGTATAATGATGTCTGATAATTCAATGACCACCTTCGTGTCTTATAAGTAACACTAATCCTCAACTTATAGACTTTTGAATATATGTATATCTAATTCCAAGTTCTTAGTTGACTACTTAATTTATTGATTGTGACCTCACATTTGTATTGTTCATTAATCTGATTTCTTTCTTTCTTTTATTCGGTAAATTTTATTTATTATGGATTTGTTCGAAGATATTATCAACTGTTATTTTACTTGACTCATCTTTTTATTTTCTTGAAGTCAATAGTCTTAAAAGCAAGGCAGGTATTATTAGATTTCTTCATTATTAGTTACTCTTAATAATTGTAGTCTTGAATAGTTACCTTAATTGTATTTTGATATAAGGAGACAAGGCCTCTATTCTATTAAACTAATACTTATTAGTTTTCTTTTATATTTAATCTAAATTATATCTTTTTCAAATTCTAAAGTAGCAAAATAAGTTGGCAATAATCAAAATGAAGCTAATCTGTTCATCTAAATTTCAATTCTTGTTTTGACTAGTGCTTATTTTCTAGGAATGAAGTCAAATACTGTTTCAAAATGATGAAATAATGACAACTTTTATCATTTAATCTCATTCTGATTATATTTAAATAAACTTAACAGATTTTTTCTTAATATTTTTCCTTCTTGTAATATTTCATATCGCATGAATGTATTAAAAATCAATACCGAATCTAAATTTGTCGTTATACTTGAAATAAGAATTAGGAAATAACAAATTAGTTTATAAACAATAAAGTGATTTTACTCATAAATCTATATACAACTAAATATTTATGTTTTTCAAATCGAAGATATCATCTTAATTTTGTGCGTAATAAAACAACTAACAAATATCTCATGTTAAATTAACAAACATGTACTTGTTCCGATTACATTTTCAAAATTCTTAAAAATATATTTTATTTTGTATTCCTCTCCGTTTAATATTATACTTTCAATAAATTTATCATATCTACCAACAACTTATCTTAATCTACTATAACTTTCTTGAAATATTATTGATGTCTCTTTAATTTCCAAATTATTAAGTTACTACGTTTTTATATTTATTAACTTAGGCAATTGACATAGTCTCTTAATCTTATTAAAAAGTAATTTAGAAATCATATTTATTTTATATGAGTTTTAAAAAATAATAGGACAACTATAACTGTAGCATCATGAGCAACAATGATTCCTTGTAGATTTTAAAATCTCAATAGAAAACATAAATCCTTCACAAGAATGAAAAGCAAAAGAAGATACCTCAAAGAAATAAATGTTTCTATTTAGAATGTGATAAATCTTTTGCTAGAGCTGGTCGGTTATTGGCTCATATCCAAACTAAGCATCTTCTATAAAATCTACACTAATGCCCATTTGAAGGCTGCTCAAAGATTTTCGCAGAAAAAGGGAACCTTCAGGTACATTATTGAATACATTCAGGCGAAAAACCATTTAAATGTTAATTTTGCAACAAAAAATTTACCTCTACTGGTAATTGCAAAGATCACTAAAGGAGGCACTTCAAATTAAAGTAAGATCAATTACACATCATTTTCCATTGTTATGTTTGACATTTAGTAAATCTACTCGGATTTATTGCCTATTAATTCCATTGTTATCCTTCGTATTTAACTATTTCATTAATAGACCTTACAATTGTCTGATGTGCTAAAGACAATACTACAGGCATTATTAACTGGTCAAGCATACTTAGAAAAAGCATCCATAATATTAAAATATTTAAAATTTGATGAGAGTAGAAATTACTTCCCCAGAGCATGGAAAATTAGATCAGTAATTTTTTACTAAAGCCCAAATCATCGATTTAAAGTTTGAAAAAATATAGTCTATCTTAGGTGAAGATAGAACAAACATATAAACCTTTGGTTTACTAAATAGAGAACAAACTGATGAAAGAAATTTTGTTTCAAATTCCCAATCATTAATGATGAATTCAAATGATCAAAATTCTAAAGAGACAAAAATAGCTTCAATCAACACTTAAACTACTTTCATGAATTCACAATTCTAAAGCAGATCTACAGAAGAACTAGATTGTAGTCCTTCTAGATTTTTGGTTAGCTATTGGGATTAATATTTGGAAGATTCGTTTTCTTTTGATCATATAATTGAGAATCAAGAGTTAATTACCCCATCAGAACCACTACACTAATATTAAGGATTTTAAATATATGATTGAAATTGGCATACTCATGGAAAATGATAACATTGCAAGATTCTGTGTGAATGAACAAATTAAGTTATTCAGACATGATGAATGAATGATCATGATATACTAGAGGATTATTTGTCATATTTATTTAAGATTTAATCCAAGTATTCAATAATTCAATTTTTTCAAATTAACATAGTATTTTTATAAATTAAAATATTACATTTATTAATATAATTTGTATTCGCATTATTTTTGATGAAATTGTTACTATGGGGTTTTGGGGTTTTGGGGTTTTGGGG